CCTGTTTAATTGGATGGAAAAGATTAAAAAGATCTTGTCAAGGCTATTGCTGCTGGGAAAAAAATCTATATATATATATATTAAAAAAAAAAAAAAAGAAAAGACTGCAACTTTGACAACAGTCCCATCGAAAAAGGCTGACTTTCTGCTTGTGTTAGTTTTTCTCAGATAGTTTGTGCCAAACAAAACAACAGTCTTTGAGATTTTGACAAATAAATCTTTAGAGTGTTATCCCCATATATTCTGCCAGTTTGGCTGCTTTGGCTGAGCATTTGACCATCAGAAGATCATAGGTCAAATGTTATATTATTCTACTTAAATATTTGCAGAAGCAAATAAACTTTAACAGATTTTTACAACTGAGAATATTTTATAACTGAGTCCATTTTCAAGGGAAGGTCTCAGGGATTTATTTCTTTATTTTTCTAGTTTTATTTATTGCAAAATAATCTGTGCAGATCTACCTCTACATTTAGGCCTGGGTTTTGCAAAGATACACATCCAAGAGGGACTTCTTATAGCAGTGTAGAGTTAAGTACATGCTGAAGTCTTTGTACATTTGGGACTTTTGATACTGTGAGGATTAAAGTTTTATAAATACCTAAAACAGATTAAGAACATGAGAAGTAGAGAGAGAGAAAAATAATTTTTTTTCAGTCAAGGGCTGTTCTCATGAGAGGCCTTTTTCTTCATTTTTTTTTCTTTTGTAATTCTATTATAAAGTGAATATTCTTTTAAATCGATGTCTAAAAATGACATGACAGACACATGGCATACAGACATGCAATGTTAAGATGTGTATCTCACATTTTTTTTCTCCTAGATGCCAGGTTTATGAAGCAGGAGAGATGTCAGTCTAGGGGAGACAGTGCACAAGCTATTTGTAGCACAGAAGAGCAAAAACATATTAAAATAGATTTCTGAAACATATGTTTTATAGGAACTTATTCAGGGGGACTGATGTTCCAGATGGTAGCCAGCTCAGTAGATCCAGAACTGCAGGACAGTTCAGGTTGGAAGGGACCTCAGGTAGTGTCCAGTCCGACCTCCTGCTCAAAGCAGGGCAGCCCTGAGGTCAGGACAGATTGCACAGGGCTGTCCCATCGGGTCTTGACAACCTCCAAGGACTGGGACAGCACAGCCTCTCTGGGCAGCCTGCTCCACTGCTGGGTTGTCCTCATGAGGAGAAGTTTCTCTTCTCTTCTTTCAATTTATGCTCATTATTTCTTGCTCTCCCACCCTGTACTACCATGAAGAGCCTGGCTGTAGCTCCTCATTGACTCCTTGTAAGAACTAGGGGCCTGTTAGATGCCCCAAAGCCATCTCTTCTCCAGACTGAATCAGCCCAATTTCCCCATCCTCTCCTCATGGGGCAAGTGCTTCAGGGCCTACCATCCTGTGTCCCCCGACAGCATCCCTGCCTTTGAGCATGAAGGCAACATAAATGACATCAACTGCTCTCTCTCCATCTTCAGATCCTGTCAGTTATAGCAGGCAATCAAGTTGCTCAGGCTTGTTTTACTCTTGGTAAATCCATTAGTGTGTGTTTGTTTGTTTGAAGGATGGGCATATTTGCTTTTCTCCAGTCATCAGGGACCTCTGCCAGTCTCCACAGCCTCTCAAAGACAAGAGAAATCAGCCCAGTAAGGACACCACCAGCTCCCCCAGCACCAGTGGAGGGTGGCCACCAGGCCCCCTGACTTGTATGGGTCAAATTTCCTCAAGCTCCCTCGAGGTCCCTCATCACTTCTGGTCCTTCTGCTCCTCCATGGCCCTGCCTCCAACGCAGAGGCCTGGCTGACCTTGCTGGTGCAGGCAAGGACAAAGAAGGGATAGGTACCTCAGACATACCTGTTTGCTTTCACTAATCCACCCACCACTCCAGTTCTGTAGCTGTCTTTCCTTGTTCAACCTTTTACTACTGGTGTAGCAGAACAAGCTCTTCTTGTTGCCATTGATGTTCCCTGCAAGCGTCAAGGTGAGCTTTGGCTCTCCTGACACCATCCCTACACACCCAATAAAGTCAACATGGAAAGACAATACCTCCACTCGGTGATTTACCATCCTTTGCCACTTTGCCTGAGCACAATCTCTGACAAATATTTGGCTGTGCACCCCGGTTTTCTAAAAAATGTCCCATTTTTTCCTACACTTATGGTAGTAACACACTGCCTGACTTTGCACAGTTCTGTAAGAAGAGGGAAATATGCATATGCCAAACTAATAATAATTTAGCCTTTAACTTCCCGTGCCTTGGTTTCCTTGTTAAAACACACCCATCAAATCCAATGCACCGTCCATGTTTTGCAAAGCCCCCGTTTCTATAAATGCGTTGTCCTTCTGTAAGGGTGCATTCCTCCTCCCCAAGCAAACAGGCTGTCCCTCCTGAGGACCGTGTGCCCTGTGATGAGCCCAGGTCCCACTCCTTGGGAGAGCAGGCTGTGAGCAGACCATTACGATCACGTCCTCCGCTCATCGCACGCAGCAATGTTACCAAACTGACCTACTTTTCCCATCCGCCCACGGAAGGCTAATCCTGTTTAGCATTGCTGGAAGGGGACAGGCACGCGGAGAAATGCTCGGAGTTATACAGATGGCAGTCTTTGCTGATTAATGTTAGTTTAATTTTGTTTGCCTTTCTGTTTGCAGCCGTGTGAGGGGAGAGCGGAGCAGGGTTGAACCCGGGGATTCACTTAGCCTGCTCAGTGAAGTCTGAGTGGCTTTTGCCATTCGGTAACGATCATAACAAGGAAGATAACGAGCATGCATGTACTGATCTCTGTCAGAGACGTCAGGCTCTGCACAAACTTTACGCCTTGCTCACAAGCTAGAGATAAAGGGCGCTTTGCGCTCACCCCAGCTGCCCTCCTTGCATCCCTTGCTGCTGGCATTGGCAGTGTTACTCCTGGCTCAAACAGATGTGAGTCATGCCATGGCCATAGGGATTCACGTGCTGCACACCCCAAAATCTAACCACCACCAGGGTAGTGGGGGGAAGCTCGCAGAAATAGGTGCAACGCTTCTGACATTCAGAAAGGAATACCTTTTCCCTCTAAATGGGAAAAATATAATAGATAAAAACAGAGTACATTATGAGCTTTTACTTCTCATTATAATCTTGTAACACTCAGCTGCATTACCTGTGAGCAGTCTCCTGCCAGCCCCAGCTCAGAAGAGCACAGCATTAATTTCTGTCAAATTACATCATTTTCATTGTCTACATTTGGACTATTTTTTTAATGTCTGTTTTGCTTTAAGCCAGGCACCAGCTAAAGCTACAGCGAAAATCTGTATGAAAAAATGGAGAAGCCCATGAGTTTCATGAAGTCCTATCTTTTCTCAAAAAGTTTTCTTCTTTTTTTCTTTTTGTCCTGTACCTTTTTGGGAAACTTATAAACAACCTCTTCTCTAGCGTAAACAAAATGTAGTAAACCACTGAAGGCATGAAGACTGAGCTGCACACTGTCAGACAAAAGCAATCATAGCTCTAAAGGTAGACACAATGCTACTGGATTTCTCCTTCGCTCATAAAAACAGCGATTCCCGTAACAATTGCAGCATAACATGACCTCTTGTAACTGCAGACTGCCTTTCTCTCACCCAAAAGGCACAGTTCTTTCTCAAATAACAATGTATATCACAAGGAGAGAGGGTTTTTTATTATTATTTTCTTAAGTTTTCTTAAGGCTACTCTGTTTACATTTTCATAAATTAGTTTGGATTGGCAGGGGTGGGATTGTGCTGTACTTAGCTATGGGCCCTAGCACGTTCTTGTAACAGTTCAGAGGTTTACATCTGAAAAATAAATTTGGAGGGGTGCAGATAAGTTCAATGTGCCTGTGAATGTCTCAATTTATTCTGATTTGATACAAATCCTTCCTGTGTATGTACCCACCATAACCCTCATGGTGGGATGTCTGAGGGCTTCATCCATGTCAAAGAAATGTAGAACAAGACATTTAAAATGATTATATTGTCTCTTCTTGCCTGTCTCTCTTTCCTTCCCACGTGCTAGGGGCTCTTTGCCCCCCCAGCACAGGTTGGAAGGGAAATACTCTACTTTTCAGTCTACTTTAGTGCTGTGTAGCCCCCATGGGACAACACTACCATGTGTCCACAGTCAGACCTTGAAGCCATCATCCCGGGCAGGGGACCCGGCAGTGGTGCCAGCACAGCAGTGTGGCTGTGCATGCCTGTGATTGCTCACCAGGCTTCCCCAGGCACATCCCAGGGCCTGTAAAGGAGATTTACGTCTCTGTCTTCGTCATCATCAACAGAGAGATTGCCTTCAGCTGAGTTAAACAAAGGTGATTGAAAATTCTTGTTAAATGTCAGGCTGATTTGCAGGAGCTGAGATTAGCTGGCCATGTGGCAACTTATTGGGAAATCAACAGCTGCTTACTTGCATTTGAGTGTCAGTCATTTTACAGTGTATTCTCTTGAGCAGTAGGACAGTAAGGAGGGAAAGCAACCTCCCCAGCACAGGACAGTGATGGTTTAACTCACTAAGAGCCATGTTTCCAGTGCAGCATGAGGTGATTGGGGCCAGAAGAATTTTACAGTGCAAGCTCTGTGTCCACTGGGAATAGGCTGTATCAAAACAAACACATGCAGCCTTTCTTCTGGGGAGTCCCCAAAGTGATCTGGCACCATGCTTGAATTAATCCTTCCCCAAGCAACTCTTCATAGTATGAATGGGGGGGGGGAAGATGTTTGTGCTGTAATTCCTCATCTGATAACTAAGCCAGGGGTACATGGTTTAGGAGTTTTAGCCATTCTTTTGTTTCCAGAATGCCGCATTTCTCCACTAGCTGAAGAAGCATTCATCTTGAAAAACAGAGAAAACCTATCCCAAAAAGGAAAACATACGAAATAAAGTATTTCTATACAAGTTTCTATACAGAAGGGGCCCAGCCATCAGCCCATCCAGATGTCCCAGGTGTGATGACGGCCTTTATTGCTTGCCTTGCTTCTTGTGCTGTACTTTCCCACTTCCTAAAATTAAGCACTTTTGAAGGTAGGAACTTGTCTGAGGAGCACTTCAGGCAACAGCTGAAAAACTTGCCATTGGTTTGGTTTGCTCTGCTTGTGGGTGTGTGTCTTTCTGCGTGTCTGTCTGAGTACCATCATGGTAGGAGCATGTGAGCTTTCTCCTCCTCGTTCCAGGTGTTTCCCATCTTCAGGAGTGATAGCTCCTTGATAATGATGGTACTGATGAAGCCCCAAACATAAATGCCACTGTTAAACACTCTGTTGGCAGGAATTAGATCGTGTAGTGCCGTTACCCGTAGGTTTTCCAATTCTCTGTTCGCATGAAAGGACTGTTTTATGAAATCCTGGTGCTACTTGTTTTTTATGTCATGCCTTTGCAGGGGAAGTGTGGCAGCGAGCCCTGGAATTCGCTGCCTCCTCCGTCACTGCAGGGAGCCTGCACTGCCTCTTCAGCCAGGCACTGACAGGGATGAAAGAGGAGATTCCCAGTTTGCCACTTGGGACCCTGCTGGCTCCAGGACCGGGAGGATAATGTGAAGCAAGCAGGCTGCCCTAAGCGCATTCCTGAGCCTCATGGCATGGGTTCCTCCTCCTGGTGTTAGCCAGCATCTTATCAGGCTCGGGAGAGGTGTGACAGCACTGGTTAGCAGCAGTTGTACATTCTGCCGGATCCATTTTATTGAGAGCAGTTTTAATTTCATATGGTACATATGTACTGGCAAACACTGCTAGCGATGCTTACAATGCTCTGGAGATTTTGCCGTGTGAGCAAACAGAAGCGAAATGACAATTAGATATTGTCTAACACTAGCAACAGCACAGCAGGTCCAGAACTTCATGTCAGTCAGAGAGAAACCTTGTTTACTGGAAGCCGGCCACGCATTGCTGTATAGATCTAGCCAAATCCCTGGCAGAACAGACCAGCTAGACCTGTTGCTCCCTGGTAAGAATAGAGGCTTCCCTGCAGTGCAATTCCTTGACAGTTTGTGGAGTGCAGCTGCAGGAAGCCTCTTCCCATAGGTCTGTAGTGCCTGCTGAAAACAGATGGGGCTGAGCAGCATCGCTCCCGAGTGCCCCATCTGCCCCCAACCCTACTCAGAGCCACCCAGAGCTCTGGTCCCCGTATTCCTGCTTTCTGCTGGGAATCTGCTGCAAATAGAAGAGCCTCAGAGGAAGATCTTCAGTGATTCACAGAAAGCGGCATCCTCTGCTGACGCCGCCCCACCTCACATGTTGTATCCTACATTCAACAGGAGTGCATGCTATGGGGAGTTTTGAGCTCTAGCAAAGAAAGATAACAAAATCCTAAATGCCACCCCTTGCCATAATAGTGATGCTTTCATTACTCTCAAATAACATAGCAGAACATTTCAGTTCCAATAAGTGGGCAAACAGCAATAAAAAACACTGAATTTTGTCATTACACTTTTTCCTGAATTATTTGAAAACTCACTTGTTGGGCTACCAGCCCAGTTCTTGGGCTGGGGGAATAATCACCTATAGTATTTGTAAAATGACGGTGGATTTTTATTACAAATTTAACTGTGTCTATACACATTCCTAGTCTAAAATATAGATTGCAATATGGCTGACTTGCCTGTTTTCAAATCAAAGTATCTGAATATATATATATATATGGTATTATTTTTTATTTTGTTCTGTATAACAGAATTCAGCAATTTAAATTTGCCAGTCCTTCAGCCTTCTTATTTTCTATTTATGCTCCTCCATCAACACGTTGAATCCTGTGAAGCACTAGCTTTACCCTCCAATCACTGACCTGTAGCTTTAATTTTTCATTCCTCTTATATTTGATAAAAAATTACAGGGTAGTTGCATGTTCTTAGCTAACTGTTGAGTAATAAGCAGGTGGAATATGACTGTAAAAGAGCCACTGACAGAAGGAGGGAATTTATCCACTGTTCTTAGCATTGATAACTTTTCACTCCTGTTTTTTAATAAAATGTTCCTTAAACAGGCAAATTCCTGTGTGACTCATATGCGGAAAATACCATGGACTTAAATAATGCACAGCAATTAACTTCCCTCCTCCCCCCTTCAATTTTCTTCATGTCCTACATTTTGAGGAAACATTAAATGAAAAGCTGGTTGTTGAAAACGAGCATTATCATGGCACGCTGCTACACCATCACTTTGGAGGTGACGCTTTGACCATACCCGGGGCTCACAGCAGCGTTGTGGTGCCCATTCGGAAAATATTTGTGTGGGATGTGGCAGGATTGCAGCTCCTGTGCTGTGGCAGAGGTGTGAGATGTGGTGAGGGGCTGGAGGAAGCATGCAACCTCCTCCTCCTCCTCCTCAGGGCACCAGGTCTGCTCGGTTTCCCCAGGCTCTGTACCAGTCCAGCCCATCTATTTTTGGGGAACGTGTGAGGGCTGAAAATGCCTCCTCAACTTGCTCACACCCTGGGGTTCATCTGACCTGCAAACTGGCAGAAAGTAACCTTGACACTGAAAATCCCCCAAGAAATGTCTGTTTTTGTACTGTGCTGGCTCACAGTGTTGTGCCTGGGAGCTTTCATCCCTGGCTGCAGCCCCTACAGCTAGCGTGATGCTGAGGAATAATGTTATCTGCGATGGATGTTCCTTAAAATCAAGGACTGTGGCACAGAGCACTGCTGACACATTTATCTGACCTGGATATCATCACTCTGTTATTAGAATGAAATAGCATGACTGAGATTAACCTGCAAGCAGAGCTACCAACATGACGATTCATAATGATTCTTGCATTCCTTCAACAGAAAAAACTGCTTAGACAATCTAATGGATGAAGATGAGAAAGACAGGGCAAAGAGGTGAGCACTTCTTCTTTTATAACTCTGCTTAACTCGCGGCGAGCTTAATAGTGTTTGTTGCTGCAGAAGCTGTTTTATCCGTAATCAATTAATCAAAAAGAGAGAGGAAAAGAAAGCCAAGCGCAACTTGAAAAACTGCCATATCACAGATTCCTATTCCTGGCTACCCTGTAAGAGGAAAATAACTTAGCAATGTTTCCTGCAGAAATTGTCAAAAAAGCAGAGGCATTGATCGTTTTTTTCACAGTACTGCAGACCACGAGGATTGAAGAACCAACAACATACTCCTGCTGCTATAGCACATCATCCTAGCTCCCAGAGTGTATGAAATGTGTGTTGGTTTTGGTTGTTTTTTATAAGAAACATCTTGCAAAAGACAAGTAACTTTAAAAATGTGTTTTGTTTTTTTTTATATATAATGTGTTGGTCACTTATTCAGCAATGCTTATCTAACAGTGATGGAAACACCCAGAAGTTACCTTCCTGACAGATAAAAACCTTTCAGAGTGCTGTGTCAGCCCAAAAGTGGCAGAAACATTTATTCACATCTCTTCTTCACTCCAGGATAAAGTCCCAGCTGATCCGTGGGCAGGAAATTGTTGTGAGCGCTTTGTGGGCAGGGGAAGGGTGTGCTTCAAGGCAGAAGAACCGTGGCAATCAAACGCTAATAACTGTCCAATCTGGCTGGCATCTGCAGTGTCACTAAAGCTGTTTGGAAGCATTTGTGGTTGTTGACTTTTTTTTTTAATTTTATTTTTTTTCTGGAAGCATTATCAATACTGCGGCCCACGGTTTAATTGCTTGAGAGGGAGCTGTCAGCTGCATGCATTTTTTCCCTTGGTTCCCCCTAATGAGAGTATTTCCAGTCCAGGCACAACAAGTTGATCCAGTTTCATCTCCTTTGATTCCTTCTCCGCTTCTTCCCTCCCTGCAGCTTTTTCTCACCAATATAGGTCAGCACACGCCACTACCAAGCTCAACCACTCTCCTTTGCTCCTACCTCTAATTTGTGCATGCTCCTGGGCCGGTTGTGGCCAATAGAGAGTGCACGGGGCCCCAAGGAGTGTATGATACTGGTGCAGGTACCTGGGGTCAAGGAGGTGGTGAGCAGGAGGCAGCCAACCCCTGCAATCACTGCTCGGCACGCTTAAGTCCTGCCCATTTTCAAGATATTAGCATTGTTGAGGAAAGAAAGTGCTAAATGAATACAGAGAGGACAAAAATAGGATAAGGCATATCCTCACGATCGGCAATTGTCATCACCATCTGGTGTGATTTTCATGCTGTTTGTTCGAGGACGGAATTTTTGTCATGCCCTGGGGCAGGTCTCCTCCAAGGTAGAATAAAAAAAAAATATAACTTTTAATATGTAAAAGGGAAATCACTTCTTTAGACTATAATTTAAGTACACTTTGGTATTTAGAAATAAATCTAAATTGGAAATTACACTTAAAATCATGAGAGGCTTCACCACAGTCTAAAGTTATTATAGTATACTAGAACCCCTAAGATTCATTTAAAAGCTACAATGTTTTCTTCCAAAGGTTTAAAGAAAGTCAAACATGGGAGAAGGCACTGGCTGAACATGCTGCTGTTGTGCTCTGAAAACTGAGAGCTCTCATTTCGTCTGCACTGTAGGAGAAACAGCATCTTTGTTCTATTCTATTCAGCATGAGGAACAGGTCCCTCTAAGCGGAAAAGATAAGAGGGGGCAAAAAAAGAAAAAAAGAAAAAAAAAAAAAGGCAAGGAAAATTGCTCTCTTCTTCCATTTCTTGAGTAAAAAGTAGGTGAGACTGGAATTTCCTCGACATAACTCACTGAGGGTGGATCCAGGCCAGGAGCTGGGTGTCTCAAGTGAGGAGTGTGAGTAGCTCCCCCCATTTGCTATCAGCTTCAATTTCTTAGGCACATACAATCTGTACCATCCAGACATCCCGCCCATGCTGAGAAGAGTGGCCATCCTTCCCCGAGGACATGCATCTGTACTCTCACCTCTGGGCCAAGTGTTTCTTATTTGGCTGAGCTGCACTGCTCTTCCTTCAGGATACCGGTTATTTTGAGCTCTGCTCTGACTCCCTAAGGCACTACCTAACCTCATTCCAAACACTAAAATGTTGATACAGTGGCACCAAATTTGGCAGCATTGAGGACCTCTTCAAGATGTGTAGAACATCTATTCTTCTATTCTATTCTATTCTATTCTATTCTATTCTATTCTATTCTATTCTATTCTATTCTATTCTATTCTTATTATTTCTAATTATATAATGCACTGGACAGCAAAGAGGGATGTGAAATTTAATGTAAAGTCACATTTCATTGTAAATCAGCGCGGTGCAACAGCTACTGGTCAACAAGTATCAGCCTCTCTTTAAGACAATAAGCAGCAAGTATACAAGAGTAAAAATGGCTATTGAGAACATGTTTTAAATTGGTGGTTTTGATCTTTCTGAATTCAAGCTGTCCTGCATTGCCTTTAGCTGTATTCACTAAAAATCCAGATTTTATTTATACCGTGTCTCCTTCTTCCCCTTGGATATGCCATACATTTTTTCGGAGTAGCGAGGAGGGAGGAGAACTGGGACAAACAGTATAGAATTAAGACACAAACTGTTTTGGCTTACTGTAAATGATATGCCCTAGCAGTGAAGTAAACAAGGCGAGGGAATAATCTTCCAAGGGAAGTGATGAAAACTGCATTATTTAAGACATTTACAACTGGACTGAACAAAAGCATTTACAACTGTTCAGGGATAGTTTAGATGACCTAATTGTGGGTTTTTTCTCTTTTTTAGATTTAACTGTGATCATCGATTCAGATCTTGGTAGAGTTATTTCCACTAGAGGAGGTTTTTTATTTCCTTTGTGAATAAAAAGTCAAGTGTTAAAAATAGATACTTTATATTTCTGTCAAGGCATCTTTATATTTTGGCAAAGCAACCCTTTCCCTATAGATGGTTGGTGCTTTATTTTATTTTCAGGAGGATCAAGACCCTTTGAGCTTAAAATGAACTGAGGATTGAATTATGAGGAAGCAAAATGTTGATGTTCTCTAAGTCCCCTTGAACTGTACAGAAATAGGATAAGGATGGAGCTTTTCACATCTTGTTCTGACAGCCTTTTGCGCTGTAATAAGAGCAGGCTGGAATCAGTCAGGCAGCATCCACCCAATCTCTTGTGTTCCATGCTGTAAAATAATCAAGCATTGGCTTCTATCCAGTGCATCTCCAAGTGTGTTCAGGGTTGAGAGCAAGACAAACAAAAATTACCCCTCTGTCAGTAGTAACATCCAGAAGCCTCTGCAGTGATTTCTCTGCTGAAAATGTTTATTGCCATACTGGTCCTCAGGGGGACGTAAATGCCGGGCTAAATTCTGCTCTGATTTTCACCAACATGTGTGCAGAGCTCCCTACAAGGTACAGCAGATTTAACTGGGACCGAGACACTCAGAAGGAGAACTGACCTCTTGGCTTTTCTTTCCTGCCTACATGTAACCAGATTTTTAGATCTTTATGTAACTAGCAAAGCAAATATTGTCTGCTTGAGGATCTTTCAGAAGAACAAACAAACCTTCTGGGTCATATTTATTTCTATTTTCTCATGGCT